TTTTAAATCATTCAAACTGAAAAGATTGAAGCCGATTTTAACCCAAAATAAAAAATGTCAAATGAATGAATTCATATTTAAATCAAGTTGTTCCTGAACCTTCAGCCTCTTTATCATATCAAAATAAAACAGCAGATGTTCGTTAAAAGTCTAAATCCCAGAAGTTTACAGATTTTCTCAATTCGTTAAATTAACTACTTGAAAACTTCAAGGCATTTGTCTCGTGACACAAATTTCTTAAATACACGTTTTGACTTAAAATTCTTTTTATGAAAACGTACAATAAATTCATTTTAAACATTAAGAACTGTTGTGTCAGATATGTTACTTTATACAAAACATCAAGTGATGAATAAACTTGCGTCAATAAGTTTTTAAACTGCTGCACACTGTTCATTTTCGTGGCTGACGTTTGTTACCGAGATACGATGCGAAATTTGTAGAAAGAAAAGAAACCGTCCTTACGCAGTGAGTGCCCCCTTCTGGTCCTCATCAGTATTACATCCTCCTGCTGTTCAGCTGAGAGTTTGCCTGGAGGCACTGGAGCACGTTTCAGATCATGCACGACGGTTTGTGAGGAAGATGTCGGTGAGGAAGAGGAGGAGGACAGACGAAGAGGCTGGATTTGGTTGAGTTGGTGTTTTTCGGTGCAGACTCGTCCTGTGATGGTTTCGTCCGTCTTTCTCAGTAGAAGAAATACACTGAGGAGAGAAAATAACGTCAGCAAGAAAAGACGTACAAGCTTCGTGAGTTCAGACTCATCGCCTGCACGAAGGTGGGAAATAATGTTTTGTTTTCACAAAAAAAAAATATTTGAATGTAGCTAAAAATCTAAATCTTCCTGAGGAAAGTGTTCGTGAAGAACATAATGAAGGAAAGTAATAAAAACCGACTGTGAGCATGAGCGTGCTCCACGGCTGTGACAGTAATCTGCTCACCAGAACTGAAACTAGAAATCAGTCAAAATATCAAAACCTGAAAAATCTTGCAATGTTAAAGAAAGTAAAAAAATTCCTGCATCAGCCCCCTGATCCGGATCAACACCAAACTTTTATGAGTTCTCCCCTCGGTGTTCGCTCACCCCTACGCAAAATTTCATAGAAATCGGTTCAGTTGTTTTTGCGTGATCCTGCTCACATACAAACCAACTGACAAACTCAGTAAGGCTCAGATCTCTGTCAAGGTCCAACACGTTTGTTTCATTGTGGGCAAGATTGCGCAAAAACTGCAGGACAGATTTTCACGAAACTTGGTGGGAGGATGTTGTTTGACTTGACGAAGAAGTCGTCAAAGTTTGGTGCAGATCCAGATCACGGAGCAGATCTAGGATTTTCTTTTCTCTCTCCTTTAACAATTAAATTCCAGATTCAAATGATTGTTTGGATCTGCACCAAATTGCAAACACTCATAAATATCAGTCCTCTAAATGTGTCAGGTTTTTCTTTCATCAAGCTCCATGAATTATTTTCTGAGAAATCAATGAGAATGTTACAAAAAACAAAAAAAGAGAAAAAGAAATCTTCTGATCCTAAATTACACGACTTCCCTCCTCCAAGATTTTTCGTAATCTGTCCTGAAGTTTTATTAAACAAGCTAAAGAAACAAAAGCTGAACTACTTGATGGAGGTTAAAGGAAAAGAAATAAAAAGTGAGTGTGCTCTACAGGTTTGATGCTAACCCGTCAACTGTATAGATATCAAATGAACATGTTGACCTGAGGGTGGCGCTAGAGGAGCTATTTAAAATGTCAGTGTTTAACTAAATCAAACAATTATATTATCTATAAGGACAATTTTAAATATAATAAATATAATATAAAGACACTCACAGAAGACGACTCCAACACATATGACACCGATAACGGCCATGATGATCATCATCTGCAGGAAAAGAACAATCACACCGATGATGGTAAAAATAAATAAATAACAACAACAACAACAATAACAATAATAATAATAATAATAGAAGAAAAAAAATCAGTAAACAAAAGTGTTCTGTTGTCGTTGTTGTTATTGTTGTTGTTGTTGTCATATCAGAGAATGTTGGGTCAACATGTGTTTGTGTTTTTAATTTGTTTTGTCAGATTCTTCAGTGATATTGTGCGTTTGGATTTGTATCTTTATCTTTGTACATTTACAATGTGTGTGTGTGTGTGTGTGTGTGTGTGTGTGTGTGTATAAATAAATCCACGTCAGAGCTGCAGACTGACAGGAAATCACATCACCTCTGACAGGATGAGGGCGAGAGAGATTAACAAGAACAAGTGATAGAGAGAGAGAGAGAGAGAATGTGAGTGGATTGGATTGAAAGTGTGATTTTGCTGCGGTTCTTCTGTTTTAGTGAGGACCAGTTTTTACTTTTGTAAAAGGACATGTCTGCGAGGACATGTCTCTGAGGACATGTCTGCGAGGACGTGTTGGTTCATCGTCACTTCTTCATCACGTATGTTCGAGGGTTAAGATTTGATTTAAAGGTTAAAGTTAGATTCAGGGTCAGATTATGTTTACACTTGTTGTCGTCAGGAATTAAGAGCCGATAAAATCATGGACCTAAAAAAATATCAATTATTCTTGTTGTCAACAAAATCCAAGATTGACAAAAAGCAATGACAAGTTTCCGCTTCCTGTAGGTTTGTTTAATTTATAGATCCTGTAGGAGGGACTATTTTCTGTGGCGGATGAATCCACATCCTGTATTTCTGTGTATGTGCGATGACTTGCTCAGGAAATATGTTCAGAGAACTTTTGAATGTCTGTTGACAATAAATAAAAAGTAAAATATCAGGTCGTTAAAACATTAATGAGACGAGATGACAGCAGAGTCCTCACAAGTAGAGAAGAACAAAGCAGTGTGTGTGTGTGGGCGGAGTTATATCACAGATCACAGCTGGTTCTTTAATCCCCGACTGTCACTGTAATCCAGATTGGGATCTCTCTCTCTCTCTCTCTCTCTCTCTCTCTCTCTCTCTCTCTCTCTCTCTCTCTCTCACTTCCTGGTTGCTGGTTGTTAATCCTCTAGCTCTGTGAACGGCGGCTCCTGATTGGACGACATGTAACAGCTCTGTCCGTCTATCGGAGGCGGGGTTTTGACGAAGTGACGTTGAGATAAAAATGGATTGGCAGCTGATGAAGGATGGAGGAAGGATGATGGATGATAAAGAAGTTGGTTATCAGGAAAATCCAGGACCGAGTTAAATCCGACTCAAAGACCAAAAAAACTGAAGCTAAAGCTAAGATATTCGTTATGGGGGCGGCCATCTTGTGACAGTTATGTCGGCTGGAGCCAGAGTCAGGATCTTGGAGTGGAGCCACGTTATCAAGGTCCTTCAACCCGTCATGAGTCAGCGTCAGCTGTCAGTCATCACGTCTCAGCTCGTCATCAAATAACTGATTCGAACCAAACTGATCAGAAACACTTGAACAAACATCTGTGAGATAAGAACGACCTGAAATTACAGAAACCACATTTGCGCAGACGTCACCTGAGCTGACATTGGAATCAGATATTTGCACCAATCAATGACTTGAGTGGGTGGGACTGATGCATGATGGGAAAACAAACCGCGGTAACATGCAGCGTAACGCTCTCACCTTACAGTTTTTCCACCAGTACTTGTTCTTGAGTTTGGCGGCGCTGCTCTCGAACTGCGATGCTCCGGCCTGCAGCGCGTCGGCCCGGTCGTCCAGCTCAGACAGCTTCTGGTCTCTCTCCAGGACTTTGTCCACGTTCACTCGCATTATGTCCACCACCTTATGGACAAGAGGACATGTCACTAACACAACTCACGTCCTTACAGCTGCTCGTTTGTTTTACTTGTCATTTTATTTTCAAAAACTCTTTTGTAAATTTCTTATATTTATATATATATTTAATTATGGTCTGAGTCAAGGAAATGATTTGTTTGATTTGTCCAACGTCTTTCAGTGAAAAAGGATTTACAACATTTTCCCTTTTGATTGTTTAAAAGTTAATTAATTTCTTCCTAATTGTGAGTTTGTGTGAAAGTGTCCTCACCTCGTCCACCTGCGCCTGCGTCTGCTGCAGTCGTCTGTTACTTGTCAGGTTCGGGGCCGGAGCTGAGGGGCCCCCCTCCCCCTGCGGGCCCCCGGGCGCTCCCGCACTGCCTGCAGCCTCTGGAGTCGACCTTCAGGAGGTCATGTGACAGGAAGACAGGTGAAGTGACGGCAACAGGAGAATTACTGTCAGAACAACCGAAGTGAACAAAAGAAGCTTCACATATTTCTGCAGTAGTCACCCTGTGGTGGCGCTACAGCTACTTCAGTAAAATGTCTGAGTACTTTGTGATTTGGCAGCGAAACAGAAACAGATTATTAGAAGAGAAACACGACTCAAACAGGTTAATGTTGGAGTTAGAGGTTTGAGATTAGAGCAGCAGCAGCAGCAGCCCCTGTCCGACTCGACTGGATTTGACTGACGGAGATAAGCATGCATGCTATAATACACCCCTCCCCCTCCCCCCGAGCAGAAATACATCACATTAAACTTGTTTCTGTTTTTCCAAAGGTTTCGTCTGCGGCTCAGATCTTTACTTTCCAGAATCTGTTGTTTTTGATGCTGAGTAAAATGTGTCAGTTTAGCGGCAGAATCAGCTGCAGCCTCTTCCTGACATTCACACAGGCTTCAACATCACATACGAGTTGAAGTGAGATGTGGGATGATCAGAAACATCGGGAGCCACAACGATATTCAATCAAGGTCACAAACAAACTGCTGTTTTCAGACGATGGAGTTTAACCGAGGATCGAAAAAACACATTTACTGATTTTACAGGTTTAAATGAAAATGAAGTACTCACATCTGAGCAGCAGCAGGATGATGGAGATAATCTGAGTCCGAGAGCAAGAGAGGGGGAGGGAGGGGGAGAGAGGGGGAGAGAGAAAGAGAGAGAAAGAGAGAGAAAGAGAGAGAGAGAGAGCGAGAGAGAGAGAGAGATGTCCCAGTGTTTGATCCTGTTTTTAGAACAGGATGATGATGAATACCCCTATATATATATATATATATATATATATATATAGTATAGTTATAGTCTTTTATATATTTGAATATATTTAAAGCCCTTTCTCCAAGGTATTAACATATATTGTAAGATTTTTATAACTAATCACATAATCACAATGCTGCTCTTCGTAGGGTCCTTGTGTCACTTCTCACCTGTTTCATGTTGATGTCATACTTATTTTGTATGTTTGTATGCTGTCAATAAAGTTTATTTGAAAAACGTTTGAAAACCCCAACAGCTTTTATTATTATATTTATTTATCCTACTTCTGTTTGTCGTCACCTGACGAAACCAAAACACCAAAGCAGGGTGCACAGTTTCTTCTTGTTCATGCTCAAGATGGTTCTGAAACTATTTTATTCAAAAGTTATTTTGGAATGAATGCGGTCTAGTTTAGAGCTTTAAGGTGGAAATACGCAGTATACAGCTTTAATACTCCTTATACCTTAAAGAAAAACCCAAATACTTCTACTACTTTCTCCTCGTTTTCCATATTATGTTCCTCTTTACACTGTGGTCGCCCAAATGCACAGATTGTGGTGAGGAAAAGTCAAAAGCCGTATTCTTGACTGTGCCACGCACTGTGGATGACGAGATCATGTGCTCAGATTCAAAAATTAAAACATACAACAGAGTCTCTCAACACCGTTTATTCTGTGCAACTTTTCATTTCACTGCAGTAAAGTGACCAAACGCTCAGCTCTGCAGATCGTGACGGAAAAAAGAACACGTCAAAGACCCCGTGAGAACAGCTCCGACTTATTTTGACTTGTGAAGTGATGGAGAACAGGGTCCAGGTTCATAAAATCACATGCAACACCTGCACCAGCCACTAGGAGAGGAAACAGCATTTCATTCATGCATTTAGTTGTCACATTGAAATTGGGGTTTAGTGCTTTGCTCAAAAACATGCTGACAGAGCCCGAACCTGCCCTGTGGTTACAGGCTGACGAGCATCAGCAGATTTATTGGATTCTGTTTGTCCAGCTTGTATCTTTTCTGTTCAGTCGTCGCTTCACTTCAAATTTCAGTTTCACGAGGTCTTTGAGGTGGTTTCTCTTTTTTCCCCGTCACGTTATATTTACTTCTCTCCATAGATGCAATTTACATTCTGATAATATAGATCTCGACAGTTCAGCTAAAGCAGCATCTGTACAGTGATGATGTCATGAGGTGAGCGGCGCTTATCTACATTTTACTTTTGCAGTTGCTTTGATTCTCTTTGACGTCAAAGGAACAACAAGACATTTTAAATTTCAGACCTTAGATTTCTTAAGAAAATAAAAGCGAAGACAGAAACAAAGCGTTTTGGTTTTTCGATACAATTAGAAATTTAAAGTGGATCTGTTTACCGAGGTGAAGGTGACAGGTTCACTGAATGAGCACACATGAACTTACAGATGTGACGATGTTGACGACGTGAATCTTAAACACACACACACACACACACACACACACACACA